GCTCACAGGCTGATCATCGATTGGCTATGGGATGCCCCAGGAAGGGCACGTGATTGTGGATGAGGCAGCTCCCTTGGCCAATGGCAATTCTCAGAGAGAGAGTGAGCTGAGAGCTGTGAATCTTCAGCACCCCCGGCAGCCAGGGTAATGAGTCCCCAGATTCTGAAGGGGGATCTGGATGGCTCACCACATTGGCCACTATGCTTCCAAAAACTAAATGGAAAGAATCCAGTTGTCTTAACACGGCACAAAAGGCCCTTCATGAACTTGCACATGGTCACCCCCAACTCACCACATGCTGTCTTCTCAGCCTGTGCCCTGGCCCCACTCATCTGTTGAAAAACTCTTACTAATCCTTCAAATTACAGCTGAATACACCTCCTCTGAGAAGCCTCCTCTGATTACTCTTGCAGACTCAGTGATCCTTCTTCCCAGCATAGAGTTTTGGGGCATGAACTATGGAGCCAGGGTTTGAACCCCAGCTATGCCCCTTGCTAGCTGTGCATGTAACCCAAGGCAAATAACTCAATCTCTCTGCATCTTAGTCTCCTCATCTATAAAATGGGTATAACAATAGTACTGCTACCTCAAAATGTTGTTGTGAGGGTTAAATGAGTTAATATGCATAAAGTCAGGACTGTGTCTGGCAGGAATAAATCGTTACCTCTATTATTGTTGTTATTGTTGTTGAAGGTACTCAATGTGCATTTGTTGAAGACATGAAGGATGGAAGGAAGGACCTGAGAAAGACAAAGTGCAAAGAATGTCCAGGGAATGCTGAGCAATCCAATCAGTCAGAAGGGTAGTAATAGTCTCTACGGGCCCATATTGGGAAGAAACTTTCATGTCATAGTAAGGAGTATGCATGTTATTTGGTAAGAGAAAAATGAGGGTTTGTCAACAGAGGGGAGAAGAGGCCAAAAAAAAGAAAGGGCCAAGTTGAGCCAGGAGGTAAGTCATGTATACAGCGAGGTGAGAGTTACAGGTGATGATGTTAGAAGAAATGGGGGGGGTCCTCATATGGGAGGATGGGTACAGGTGAGGGGAAATGAGTCTAGACGAAAGTAATATGAACATATGGAGGATGCGTTGGAGACTCAACTGAGGCTGACGGGAACAGGTGAGGAGTGACAGTGACATCCTGGGACTGGAGAAGATAAAAATTGATGGAGACAGGTGAGGTTTGTGGAGAGAGATGAGTGATGGAGGTGGGGGTCAAGTGCACAGAAGAGATCAGTGAGGACAACCTAAGAGTGGGAGCAGGTCCATCCGAGAGAGAGTCCTAGGGCCGCAGGATCGGAGAGCAGCAGAGTAGAATGTGATGTCAGAGCAAGGACGGTGATGTAAGAGCCGGGGCGGTGAGGTGGTGATGTCAGGGCTGGTGCTGATGCTGGCGACGCAGTGCATTGTGGGCAGCTCCCCGCTCTGCCGCTGCCGCCGCTGTCGCCGAGGAGGAT